AGGATATTTGGTTCCCCCCTGTTAAAACAGGTATACAGCAACTCTGGGCCTCGGTACTAATAACAATACAGTATTCACATGTAATAATGTACTTGAGTGATTTTCAGACATTTCACATACCTCTTTGATTTAATATTAGGGGAAACATTATTTCCCGATAGACAGGGGAAACATAGGGAAACCGAATTGCCCGGAACACCTGTTCGGATCCAAACTAGCTTCGCAACCTCTGTTTTCTTCCGACGAAGAATAAAAAATATCGAACGTTTTATCGAACACATTTTTTATTGATATCGATCACGTGTCTATCGCGATACATATCGTAATCGTTTTATCGCCCAGCCCTAGCGTATCGTGCATGTCGAATAGCCAGTGTTTATCATGAGCACTTAACGACTTAGTTGGCAGAGATTTCCCTTAATTCTGGATGGACTCCAGCCCACTTAACTAGAAGGAAAAACCACAGGAAGACCGCCAGACAACACTAACTTTCCATGACTCTGGAATTCTCCAGAAATATCTATAAAAATAGTGTGCGACATTTATTAAGAAATAATTCTTTACTTATGAATGGTTTCATTTTGATCAAAATGTTACATAATTCCCCAAATGATAAATCAATCTTCTCGGCTGCATAGTGGACTAAACTTTTTTCCCCCCAGTCGTATTTTGTCGCTGCACTGCTGCTTCCACATTTCTTTCCTCGGCATTTTGACAGAGGACACTGATATATGCACACAATCATATTAATGTTCAATGGTCAATAAAAACACAATGAAGATTAAATCTTAAACAACTGCCACAAAAAGTACTCAAGGATTAAATGAGTACGAACGACCAGTTAATCGGTAATGCTAATCAATGGTCATTAATGAGCATTGGAACTACCTGCATTTTAATTTTAATTATTTTATGTATAATGACTCACAGTGCTGGCTAAGATACAGCCTTGACACTCTGTAACTCCTTCATAAACCATGCACTTTAGTAGGTCAAATTATTAATGAGCTTTTAAAATACAGTTAAAACCATGTGGAAAAATTACAGAACCACCTTATTTTATTTTACATAATACAATTGAATTCTTTGGATTTTTATATTTTGTATTAATGTAAAACAATTTATTGTACTTGGTACAATGCAGAATACCAACATCATAAAACAAAGAGTATTATCTGATGTTGTAGCATGCGACTCAGAGGTTAGCCAAATTATAGGCCAAAATACCTACATAATAAATAATGTTATCAGATCATGTCTGTAATTTCAAGGTTGTAAAGATAATCCAGATAATATACCTTCTTTTCTAACTCAAGTCTAGTAACTGACATGCAATTGTTACACTTGTAAGGAATAATCTGATCATTTTCTTTACCATGAACTGTACTCAGAGGTCATACCAACAGACACAATACAATGAAACAGAAAAACGTAAAATGACTATGGTGGACACTCACATATACTGCTCCTACAGTGAAATAATATAAAGGAAGCAGGGGGCAAGGTCAGGCCAGCAGGGCAGCTGGAAGTTGTAGCTTAATGTGGCAAACTTTTAAACTGCAGCCAGCAGTTGGACAGTGTGTAGTAACCTTTCAGCAGACTGATTTATATGCATCCTGATCTCCCTATATAAGTCAAGGCGGTGTTAGGAAACAGACAAAGACTTTTTATGGCCTCTGTATTTACTCACAAATGAGTAAAAATACACTGGACTAGAGGTTGAATTAAACATATAATTACCAAAGTTCACACAGAACTCTTGAGCAATACTATTTCACAAGGCAAATCAAATGAACTGTCTTTAAAAATGTAGTTGCACTGTTTATGCATTGTTGAGTTTTATGTTGAAACTGCATAGCAATCTTCCAGCATTCAATTACCCAGGTATATTTGATTAAATGTTTGAATGTCATTCCAGTAATTCTGCATTATAATTTATTAATAATAACACAGAGATGTACATGTCCATGGGTGGTAAGCTTTGACACCAAAAAGCCAACTCTGCTGAATGTCTTTGCTTTTCCTGATGGTAGGTTCAGGAGAATTTTACTATAAAATAACCATCTGAAAAATTGCAAGAAACATGGCTTAAGCCCAATTTAAATTTAAATTGGTGCACTCCTCTGATAAAACTATATCACAACCTTTGCCTTACGGAACCATATCTCCACATACTGCTTCTTGCAAAAGGTCTTATCACATACTCTACACTGTCTACAGCTCATGACGACAGCTCTGGCATCAAGTGATACAAGTTTCCTTTTGATTGCCTCTGTACAGAACTACAGCTGTGGCTCCATATGGCTGTTAAGAGAACATTGTGTTAACATGTTCACTGCTTTCATTGTTAACAAAAAGATATAAACATATTAAAAGTATTTCAGTCAGCAGTATTTAAACAAGCATAATATATTACAGAGACACATTCTATTCTTTCCTGGAAATAATAATAATAATAATTAATAATAATTGATACTTTATAATGTAGTACTATTTTCTCCAGTTATCTTCTGTCACACTTTCAACATTTCTGAATTGTTCTACAACATATGATGAAAAATAGTGATCTGATTCAGGGCTAAGTAGCAGAACAATAAACAATATTCTGTTCATTTTTTGAATTATGTCAATTAGTGAGAAAATCAATTGGATAAAGGCTAATAGCCAACACCAAGGAACATTATTCACAAATAAACTAGCAAATGAATACATTTTAAAAATAATGATGTAATTTGAACCTAGTTTGAATATTTCACAATGTGAAATTGTGCAATATTCGGTGTGGACACAGGTTGACATCACAACACATTGCATGTGTTCTGTTATAAATTAAAGATTAATATACATGTTTGAGTGTTCAGTGAAAAAGGTCAGTAAAAATCAACAACCTGCTGTACTTAATTACAATAACACAATATTCATTGAGTAACATCTCTAAATTCCTAGTGGAGTGATCTTATTTGATAATTAATTTGATTAAATTAAACAAATCTTAACATTTCAGAATTTCTTCATAAATTGTCTAAAAGGCTATGTACAATCATAATTCTAAAAGTACTAACTAAATATATGTATATATAAATATACTATATTAAAATTGTGTTAACCTTGTACCTATAAATGTTTACTAAGGCACATATCAAATACGCACGAATAAAATGAATCCAAGTCAACCTTGACAGCTCATTCACATTATTTACCTAATAATGACACATAGCATGATAATAAAATAAGAATTTGGATCTAAAGTAATAGGATCTCAGGACAAAGCAAAGAAACGCCCCCCATTTAAGAAAAACACGTCGATGTTCATGGCTGACTGTGCACGACAATGTCATTCATGTACACGGCTATCTTGTAAAAATGCTGACAGATAAGAAGCGTGCCTGGAGTTTCGCTCATTAAATGTTATTCCTTTATTACGCTCTGACGACAACGTGTCTTCCTGCTATTTACAGAGAACTAAACGGTTTGTTCCTTTTCCTGTTTGGTGGTGTGTCATTCGTACTGTCTAAAATACGTTACTATCTGATAGTACTGAAATGTATAGATATTTTTGTAACCATTATATATCCCATAAATAATTGTCATATTGGAAGCATGCATACAGGCTGCCTCGAAAGAATCTAAAAAGTGCCTACCTAGCTAGTGACATAATGGTTTCAGGCTTAAGCCAGCTACCAGGCGAAACACAAACAAGTTTAACCGTAAGCGTTGTACTCACCCACTGCACTTCACAAGGGGCAACAGTATCTGGCGGTGACGGGGTTAAACTAGCTACCAAACATTCTTTTCATCTGCAAAACACTGACTTTTCCACCTCACTCTACTTCGCCCTCAAAAGCTAAAGTCAAACCACTTCGAGACAAGACGATGTCTTTTGAATTCGCCTAACTAGCAAACGACTTTCTAGTTGTTGTATGGTCAGTTTCGAAAGGATGAGTAGGAGTTACACGGTTTAACCTAAAAAGCTATTTTTGGTCACATTCTGTTCCTCGCTTTACTCAACCTCAACGCCCCTCAGCGACTTTACGCTTCTAATCTTTTCATACGTGCTCCAACGACAGAGAGCGACAATGTCCCTTTAAAAGTACTCTTCCGGGGTCTTCTAGAAAATAAATAGGGGGGACGTTATATGGCACCGTCCGCCTTTCATTTAAAGGATTGGCTACCAGGATTCTTCTTATCCAATAAGAGTTGAGATTAAACGCCCACTTCCAACATATCTGCATAATTAAGAAATATTCATAAAATGCGAGCTGTCATTGGCTTTTGAGTTGTCGACGTGTATTTAAAGACACGCCCACTACACGTGCTACATTAATACTATCTGGCAATACATATGAGTGCTTTGCTTCGTAAATACAAAACAGGCGTAGAGTTAGAAACCGGGATGTACTTGACATAATAACCTAAGGTTTTTTTCAGAAATTGCCTAAACTCACCAATATATTTGTTTTGGGAGTCCTTTCGCGAAAAACGTGTTACTTAAATATTGTAAATGATTATAGTCAGCTGGGGAGCTGGACAGACAGAAATACGGTAGTTAGTTAAGTTTGGTTGAAGCTTAATTGCCCCTTTATTCAGAGAAGCTCAAAAGCAGTGAGGCACCGTTGTGCATTTCTCACTTCGTTCCTTATATTACAATCAACAATAATAATCACGGGTTTCACAGAATAAAAGATTAACAGAACAAATTTGTTTTGTTTTACATCACTTGTCGGTTCAGGATTTGTCTTGCTTAGATGCCGTGAAGTAGATGTTCCAACATCTTTAGTGTTTGTAAGATTTGTAGGTTGATCGTCATCTTCGACGACTGTAAACGATATTCTTTACAGGGGGCGCAAGGTGAGAGAGTTCAACCAGTCATTCATCCAGATAAATAAATTTGTAGGCCTATATATAAAAAAACGTTCGAACCATTTTCAAACTGCCTTAAGTTATAGAAACTATTACTGTAGCTGTCCATTCATGCCACTAGAGGGAGTAAAAAGTCAATTTCTAGAACGTCATGAAAAGGATTTGATGGGTTTTGACGGTGAAGCGCTGCTTCCTCTTTCAAAGTGAACCCTTAATAGAGCTGTGGCGGTAGCAGCGTGTACCTAATTAGTTTGGTCTGAATCATCCAAAGTCACGTCAGAACTTACTCTTCCATCCTGCTGAGGCAGTGTGGATCACAAAACTAATCACTTTAATCAGTACTGCTATTTAAAAGTAATGATGGGATTTTTAAAAAATACAGCAAAGTTAATTTACTCTTTGACTAATTCTAGTTTTATAATTTCATATGTGATATTGTACATCAGAAGTAATGGTCTTATTGTAATTATCCAGGTTAAGATGTGCCTTGTATTATAGACACAGACAAACACACACACACATTCAAGCATACATACAAAACTATACTCATAACTGTCCATTCACTTTTATGGGCAAAACCCTAATCTCAACAATGGCAACCTTAACCCCTACCCAACCCTAACCTTAACCATAAGTAACCAGACAAAATACAAGTCTTGTATCTCCTCTCCATGAATTGCCACCTTATCGTGGAGGAGGGGTTTGTGTGCCTTTGTGATCTTTGGAACTATGTTGTTGGAGTCAATTGTCCCTAGTGGGGTCTCCCAAATTGGTCCTAGGTGAGAGCCTGCACTAAGTGCCATTCACATAGACCGCCTTGACATAGAGGGAGATGTGACCTTACCCAGATTGGGGGGACTGGGGCCCTGCCCTATAGCCAGGACTGGGCTGGGAGCTTGTGGGTGAGTCCCTGGTGGCTGGACCTCTACCCATGGGGCCCGGCCAAGAATATCCCAAAAGGGTTACATGGGTCCACTACCTGCAGGAGGGGCCAAGGGGATTGGGTGCAGTGTAGATCACGGTTGGGAACAGTACCTCTGAGTTTGCAAACTGGGGTGGTGGTCCCAGTTTTTAAGCAAGGGGACCAGAGAATGTATTCCAACTTTGGGTGAGGATCACACTCCTTATCCTCCCTGAGAAGGTCTATGTCTGGGTACTGGAGAGGAAGGTCCACCCGTTGGTCGAACCTCGGATCCAGGAGGATCTTGGTTGTGGAACGCTGGAGGAGCTACTGCCTCACGCGGCGTAGTTTAAGCATCTCAAGGTCTTGTTCACGAGTGTGGGAAGGAGGCAACGGGAGATCGACTGCAGCATTGTCAGTAATGAAGAGAGAGCTGAGTCATTAGGCAAAGCTATGAAATTTACCAGTCGATCTACTTTCCTATCCTCACCTATGGTCACAGGCTTTGGGTAGTGACCAAAAAAATTACATTGCGGATACAAGTGGTAGAAATGAGTTTCCTTTGCATGGTGTCCGGGCTTAGCCGTAGAGATAGGGTGAGGAGCTCGGGCATTCAGGAGGGGCTCAAGGTAGAGCTGCTGCTCCTCCGCATTGAAAGGAACCAGCTGAGGTGGTTCTCCAGGAGGCATCTATCTAGGATGCCTCCTGGACGCCTCCCTGGGGAGGTATTTCAGGCACTTCTAACCAGGAGGAGACCTCGGGGCAGACCTAGGACACATTGGAGAGATTATATCTCTCGGCTGCCCTGGGAACGCCTTGGTATCCCCTGGGGGAGCTGGAGGAAGTGGCTGGGGAGAGGGAGGTCTGGGCATCCCTGCTTAGACTGCTGCCCCCCCCAACCCAACCCCAGATAAGTGGAAGAAAATGCTTGAATGGATGTGTGTGTGTATTTGCCTCTCCATTTTTGAACTGTATTTCAAAAGAAACGTGAAATGTTATCTGAAAATATGCAGAGGTGTCCTCATCACTATTCAATTATAATGAAAATAGAATTTCTTGTATTATGCTAATAATGACTACAATGATTGTGGACTGCATAAAGAGTGTGTTATTCTCTTTGTAGTTAGATAGTGTTCATTAGTATATGTTAAAGATTTTTCCGAATGCATTGTTTATGATATGCATAGAAAAAATGCACATTTCAAGTTTCTTCTGATAAGAGCTTCTATCTTCCAAAAAGGCTTAGCAGTCTACAAACTGTCAGGAATAAATTATTGAAAGGTATTAACTGTTTCTGACAGCCCAGAAACAGAATGAATGCAACTGAGACTGGTTGCATAAACTTACAACATACGCAATAAAAAATCCTTTTGTAAAAATCACATTTTCCAACAGTCCTACTCTTTGTCATTGGAATGAGTATACAAAACAGTACCTGGTGGTTACAAATAAAGAATTTTAAATTATGAGTATTGAACTGTGAGATCTGTTTAATTTCTGCAGATGCAGAACTATAGAAACTCGCCAGGTTGTTCATAAGCAAATACACTATAGTTTCCTTACCATTCTGGAGTTATCTGGGCAAGGATTTTCAAGGAAATATAAGAAAATAAGAAATTTACAAACGAGAGGCCATTCGGCCCATCAAGCACGTTTGGGGAGAACTTGACTAATAGCTCAGAGTTGTTAAAATCTTATCTAGTGCTGATTTAATGGAACCCAGGGTTTTAGCTTGCATTACACTAACAGGGAGACTATTCCTGTCATATGATAAATCCATCTTCCAACTGCATGCTGTGAGTAAAGTCATGAAGGGGTATACCCATGGACGGAGTTTGGGGTGGGTCAGGGGAGCGCTGGCCCCCCAGTTGTTACTCATATCCTTAGCCCGACATCCACATATCATATGTGTTTACAAAGTGTGTTTTAATAAGTTTGTATGTGTTTAAAGCATGTGGGAGGGGTATTTTAAGGCTTAACCTATAAAAAAAATGTTTATTTATATGGTATTTCTATAACGTGAATTTTCACCTATCGCTGATGGGTCTGGCACGTAACTTCTGCGACAGTACTCCCACAATACTCATACATGCCCCTACTCTCTATACCCAAATCTATGCACTTGAACAGGAACACTGAGAAAATGACAATCACTGTACTCCATAGGTAGACAAAATAATACGTTATGTATACATCAGATACTGTATGTGCGCTAACACAAAAGCAAGTGCCAAGCAAGGTGCAGTTTATTTGATACCTCCCCAGTTCAATACACATGTTCATTACAAGGGTATTTTATGGTCACCCAATTAGATTAACTGAAAACTAATAATATGATCTCTTCAGGAGGCAAAAAAAATAGTCTGAAACAAACAGGAGCAAGGATGATAGATCCTTCATTTTCCATTTGCATAAGTACATTGGCATGCTTCTCTTCACCTAACTCACCATAGCTGGGGGTCACAGCACAGGGTCAGTCAAAATGTGGGGGCTCTGGGGCTAGAGGTTAAGAGCCTCGCTCAAGGGCCCATAGACATGCGACTACCCTGCCGAAGCACTTCTGATTATGGGCACAGGGATGTAGCCTGCAGAGCCACTCACTGCGCCATCAATGAGACATAGCTTCAACATTGGTAGGAATCAGCCCCTAATCCCCCCACCCCCATAAACACACAAAGTACTCCCACAATACTCATACATGCCCCTACTCTCTATACCCAAATCTATGCACTTGAACAGGAACACTGAGAAAATGACAAGTGTGGCTGTTTGGAGAGAGATTAAGCATTGTTCTGGGTAAGTGACTGCTTTACTTAATCTCCCCATTGCATGGTCATTGAAAATACCATGTAATGGAATATTATACACAAGATGACAGCAAGTGACAGAATGAACTTCTGCTTCAGAATACATTTAGCAGAGATGAAGTCGTAAAAGGAAAAGTTTTATCAAGCATTTTTGCCCACATTTATAGTCACACTTGTGTGGGACAGATGCCTTAATTCATCTTTTGCCTTCTGTCCTCTACGGGAGAAACAATAGATTAATTATAGCGCTTTAAATCCGAGGCACCATTTGTAAGTGACATGAACCTGATATTTCAACCATATGTTATTTATAGGAGCTGGGGGTTAAGGGTTATGTACCAATTGTTAGATTATTGATCTGTAATTTTATTTAGTTAAAAAAAACAACAACAATATAAGAACAATTTGTTTTTATTGACATGAACTGTCTAGGGTGAGAAATTGCCATATCTGAGGGAGGATATATGTAAGAGTTAACAGTGCATTAATCATACTCATTAATCATCCATCCATTTTCCATACCCCCTTGTCCTATGCAGAGCTTATCCTG